CTTATCATTTCTACTAATGGCCACCTGACAACTTTTCATAATTTGCAAGCTGAATGCTATTCATAGTGTTTCAGAAAAATAGTTTCCTTAAGAACGAAGAAACATACTTTCCTGTTCTCATTTCAAAGGCCTGGTATATTTTCAGAAGCAGAAACATACACCAAGAAAAAATGATAAAAATCACCCTACCCCGATTTTGCCAAATACACATTACTTACCCTATTTATATGTAAATCACGTAACCACCACGACGTACATAATCTAAGCATCACATCAGTGCACACTATTCCTAACTATTCAAGCTCCAGCAGTGCTCAATATTCAGAGTTCTGTGACCCACAGCAAATGGCAAGAAGCCAGAAATCACAATCTTTTCTGCAATGGGAGCCTGCATTTCAATGACAGAAGATTAATGAAGGCTTCTTTTGATAGGATTAGTTATTGAGCGGGCAACTCAGTTTGGGATATTGTTATAAAAGTGCCCACCCTTGCCCTTGATGAACTTCACCTCTATTATTAGAGGTGCAGAAAGTCACCAAAGCAATTATTTTAAAGGTGGAAAACCGAAGACAGTAAGTCAAGGGAAAAAAAAAAAAAAAAAACCCAAAAAACAAAAATGCTGTACAAACTAATGAAAAATAACTAAAAATTAGTTTGTTAATAGAACTCTATCAATTAATAAAGAAAAATGTTAGAAAAATTCTCCATTTCAATCACACACCTTCCACCAGTCTTCACTGTCAACAATCTCTACATTAAAAATATCAAATCTGGGGGTGCGTGGGTGGCGCAGTCGGTTAAGCGTCCGACTTCAGCCAGGTCACTATCTCGCGGTCCGGGAGTTCGAGCCCTGCGTCAGGCTCTGGGCTGATGGCTCAGAGCCTGGGGCCTGTTTCCGATTCTGTGTCTCCCTCTCTCTCTGCCCCTCCCCCGTTCATGCTCTGTCTCTCTCTGTCCCAAAAATAAATAAACGTTGAAAAAAAAAAATATCAAATCTGTTTTCAAAATTAAATTTAAAAACAGTCTTAACATTTTGATATTATCTACAGACTTGAGAAACAGGCCAACAAAATACAACAAAACAAAGAACAAGATAAGAGATCAAAAAACAATCATCTGTTAACATCTTAACTTTGTTAAATACCTTTCATTTTGCTTATTCTCTGAGACAAGAAAATAGTTGCAGAAAAGCAAATTTTCTCCAGGTTAAGCTATATTCTCTTTCCCTCATTTCTCTTTGTTTACCCCAGGATTCCCAATAGTGAAAGAACCATGCTTTGGAGGGTGTTTGGAAATATATGCAGAGTCATTTTTCAGAAATACATGCATGCATTTAATTGTCACCATGATTAGGGGATTACTACAGGCAATCAGTGGCTGGGGGCCAGTGAGGCTCAGCATTTGCCCGGTACTAGATATTCTCATCATACAAGAAACTGTCCCTCATCCCACATGACTTATGAATATCTCCTAAGGTTAATCACAGTACATGTATAAATCCATATTACTTCATTAAAATACTAGTATTAAGGAGTTTTTGTAAGAAATTACACAAAAATGCCCCACTAAGATGGGGTCATAATAAAGAGGGAAGCATAAATCAAAGATATCATATAAAAATTATTGAATTATTGAATAATTAACTCACCCCATGTAGCAGTACATTTAACAAACACCAATGTACTCTCCACTCAGAGTTAAGATACTATTTAACAGATCATAACACTTTGTGACAACTGCTTTGGAAAGTATTAAAATAAAAACAATACATTATCAGTAGAATGGAAAGCTACTTTGTACCACCATTCTTCAATTCTAATTTTCTCTTTTTTAAATATTATGTTTTATACTTTCTGTAACTTCTGTAAAAATTCCTTCCTAGGTGTAAATAATAAATATGACACTCCATATTTAGGTCTTTTAGTCAATCCAGAACTTATTTTTACATATGGTGTGAGGTCAGCTTTGATTCCCACCTTCCCTCCATATGGTTACCCAACTGTATCAGGTCCATTTATTCAATAATCCATTCTTTTCTAATTGATTTATAGAGGCATCTCTGTCAAAATCTATTTATGGGTGGGTCTGTTTTGTGTTTTTTGTTTTAGTAGTTTATATTAATATCACTGCATTAGTATTCTTTTGGTTAATATGTGCCTGACTTATGTTTTTTTATCTCCTTTTTTGACCAATAGCCGTAAATTTTTATCTCTTATAAATAGCATATGGAAGGATGTTTTAAAATATCTAGGGGCGCCTGGGTGGCGCAGTCGGTTAAGCGTCCGACTTCAGCCAGGTCACGATCTCACGGTCCGTGAGTTCGAGCCCCGCGTCAGGCTCTGGGCTGATGGCTCAGAGCCTGGAGCCTGTTTCCGATTCTGTGTCTCCCTCTCTCTCTCTGCCCCTACCCCGTTCATGCTCTGTCTCTCTCTGTCCCAAAAATAAATAAACGTTGAAAAAAAAAAAATTAAAAAAAAAAAAATAAAATATCTGAACAATTCCTTTATTAGGCAATCTAATTAATTTATATTCTTTCTATGGTCTTTCTATTTTTTACAGGATTGGTTGACTTTTCTTTGCCTCCCCCCCAAATTGGTTTGAAGTTATACATTCTTTTTCTATTCTCTTAGTGATTATCATTAAAATTTTAATATGCATTCTCTACTTCTGCATTTCTTGTGAGTGGAAACACTGGCTGTCCTTTGTTCTGGATTATATTTTCCAAGGCTGTTTTCATACAAACATATTAGAAAATGTATGTATCGTTAGAAAACCAACACAAATATGCTAATGCTCCTGCTGCTTGCTGTGCTATGAGTAAGAATGTCCCTTGTCTCTGACCCAGGAATCTTGAGTTTCTTGCCACCACCCATGAAATGTACCAGGCTCAGTTATTAGCTTTTACGTAAAGTGAAATCATATCCCAGATCTGAAAAGATCACTGACTTAATATATAACGAGTATATTTATTTTCCTCTCCTATAAGGCAAAAACATTATAATACTTTTAAGCTGAGTTCTCACCTGCTCTTATCTTTGATATTATTGTTGGCTAACATTTTATTCCCATTTGGCTATTTGCCTTTCCTAAATTGACTTTATGTATAAATATTAAATAGTCATTGTTTAATTACATTTATAAACTAGTGAGGATTAGATGAGTAGTTTAAATAGGATGGAACGGTGCTTGGCACACAGTAAGTACATAATATATGTTCGCATTATTACGTTTTAACAGTGTTTTTTGCTCACCTTCCTCAGACCATACTCATTTAAAGTTCAATTTTCCTAATTAAAGCAAATATAAATTATATATTCTTTTTTGTGAGTCCTTTCTTAATACTGTCTATATTTATAGTATGTCTAAAACTTTAATCAGGCTTTCTTTGTAATTCCATACATATTTTTCTGCATAAATGTTTTTTGTCAATCTACAACACTGCCTGAACCAATGTCATTTTCTGCTTACTACTGAGCACAATTAGGTGCTTTCAAGAGAGGTCTTTGAAAATAATTATCCCTTCTTTTAGTCTGTGTCTTAACCATTAGTATTTTTTCCCTCAAATATTACCAACTCAGCAGTCAGCTCTTCTATAATTTCTTCATCTCCAGCCATAATATTTAATGTAGTTTTGTCTTATATCTCCCAAACGTGAAACAAGAAAGGTGGGGTTATATAAAATGAATACTTAATATGATACTATGTATACTGGTTAATTTTTTATAAGGTCTTTTATCTCCATATAATTATAGGGCTTGTCCTTATTTTGTCTGTTTTATAATTTGTATATGTTCTTTCTTGGAGGGCTCATTGAATAAACCATACACTCAAATAAAAGGTATTATTACTCCAGAAACCTAGAAGCAAATGACACCGTAAATGTTAAGAATGGCTGCCATAGGCCTGATCACATCACAGAGTTATATATAGCACAATACAAAGAGCAATGAACTAGGAGTAAGTATATCTATGTTTTAGTCTCTATTCTCCCAATGGAAGATAAACCAGACTAGGGGCAGAGGCTTGTCAAATGATGTAAGGTAAAATTTTAGTTCTGTGACTTAGTTTTGTTATCTTCTCAAACACTGTATTTCTTATCAACTAAATGCTGAAATTATCTGCTTCATTCGCCTTGCAGGTTTGTTTTGAGAATCAAATGAAATAATGTTTACGAAAATATTTTTAAACTTCAAAGCACTTTGCAAGAATTTATACCATAAGTATTATTGTTAACACTTTAAATACATTAGTTGAATGTGCCAATATAAACATTTTTCACCTCTAATCTTAACATCAATATACTGGTCCCTGAATATAAGCCTCAAGGGGAAATGCATGATCAGGAAACAAAGAAAGTTAAGATGGAATAAAGAGATCTCTATCTCAGAAGTTTTTTTTTTTTTTTTTTTTTTTTTTTTTTTTTTTTTTGAGGTTTATAAAAACCTATGATACTATACTCCAAAAGACTATTAAAAGAGGTTTGATTCCATGTCACATACCACAGATGAGTAATAGGTTAAGTTACACCATGGCTAAACTTTAAGAGTCAATTCTGACTTCTGGGTTGACATGGACTATTAAGAAGCTAATGAAGTAAGCCAAAATCTGGCAAAGCTCCTTAGGTTAATATATGAAGAAAAACACAGAAGCAGCTACTTAAAAACTCACTGAAGTTCAAATTTCCTACTTCTTCAAAAGCAGCCTGAATATCATAAAATCCAAGTGAAAACCCTTACGGCAGTTTAATACAACACTCACACTAAAGGATTTTTCAAAACAACTTGATAGTGCCAAAAAAAATAAGATACTTTCCCTTTACTTAAAGTGAGAATATGGAAGGTAATCACCGAAACTTTACAACAGAAGGCTGCAATTAGTAGCAGTACTTAGTTTAGACATAAGGACTTCTTATGACAACAAAACTTTAAAAACAGTACTCTTTTGTGCTAATTTCTGCTTTATTTTTTACCTCATGTTCTATTAATGTACCAAGTACTTACATCTGGAATAAATCCAATCTCATTGAGATGATTGCTCAGCTCTGGATCATGGAAAGCAATCATCTGAGAGAACACAGTCAGATACTCTGAAATGACAATATAAAACAATCATCATTTTTACACAATACTTCAAAGACACTAAATTCATATAAATTACAGCTTTATTTACATTTTGAATGATATTTAAATTCTCTAGGAAGAAAATATACTTTAACAGGTAATTTTCTGTTTTATTACTTTAATCACTTCCTGCTAATTATTAAACATACCAAAAAGCTATGGCACAACTTATTTTCTGCCTTCTAAACTATCAGTTCATTTCTTGAATCATAGATTATACATAATGTCTTCCTATTAAATTCAACATACATTTTTCTCTAGCAATATTAAATCTGTCTTGATTTATTGTATATTCACGAAGTGGAAGAGATACTTAAATAAGGACCAACACTTAAAAAACATTTTTTTTATTTTAGAGGGAGAGAGAGAGAGCATGAGTGGGGTAGAGGGGCAGAGGGAGAGAGAGAGAGAGAGAGAGCATGAGTGCGGTAGAGAGGTAGGGGGAGACAGGGAGAATATCAAGGAGGCTCTACACTCAGTGCAGAGTCTGACATGGGATTCCATCCCATAACCCTGGAATCATGACCTGAGCTGAAATCAGGACTCAGATGCTCAACCCACTGAGTCACCAAGGTGCCCCAAGAACAACACTTTATAATCAATCACGAGTACAATAATTATGTTTCAAATCTGTTTATATATACAGATATAGGCATTTGTTCCAGTTCTAAATTATTTCCATCTAAGGCTCCCTATTTGCCATATTTAGGAATAAGAATTAACAAATGTTAATCAGAAAATAGGCACACAGGGGGCACCTGGGTGGCTCAGCAGGTTAACCTTCAGACTCCTCATTTTGGTTCAGGTCGTGATCTTGTGGTTCATGGGAAACAGACCCACATCAGGCTCAGCAGTGACAGTGTAGAGCCTGCTTGGGATTCTCTCCCTCTCTCTGTGACCCTCCCCCACTCTCTCTCTCAAAATAAATAAATAAATAAACATAAAAAAACCAGGCACACAGTAGGCAATTAAAAATACTGTTGTTGATTTTAATCCTATTGTAATTCAGAAAGTCCAGTTGAAATATAAAGAATATTTCCTTATTTTTTCCATTATTTCAGCAAATTACTATTTTGTCAATTTACTTACTATGTTCTAACCTAAACAGGATTCTGGCAACGATCAACTCAAGGGCAAGTAAACCATATTTTTACTAAGTAAAAACACAAAATTAACACATATTTTAAGGAGTTCAACTTCTTTCTTCCCCCCTTTTTGAGATTAAAATGATAATAACTCTATAAAATGAGTAGAATGCTGCCTTACTTAAATCTAATGGTTACTGTGAAGATAAATGGTAATAAAAGACTGAATATGAATTATTTTTTCCAGTTAATAACAGAGGGCTGGGGAGATTTCATGACCTACTTAGGATATTTCTCTAGTTTATGACATAGCCAGGTTCAGAATTTAGGTTTTCAGATACCTCGTGGTATGTTTTTTTCTGCTGTGCCAAAAAGGTGCATATTTCAAAAGAGCACAAAATGTGAGTTGTAGGAATATTGGAGAATGTGGTAAGAAAAATTTCAGACTATCTGTATCTTTCTGAAGGAAGATAGACATTCACTACTTCCTAGGGATTCCCCTGGAAATGATATGGAAGATGCTGAGGAATTCAGTATGATGCTGGAATGAGACGTTCGTAATGAGCACACCCAGTGCTCATCCCAACAAGTGCCCTCCTTAATGCCCATCACCCATTTTCCCTCTCCCCCGCTCCCCCCGTCCACCCTCAGATATCATATGTTTTCACTCATATGTGGATCTTGAGAAACTTAACAGAAGACCATGGGGGAAGGGAAGGAGAAAACAGTAGTTCCTTTAAAAAAAAACAAGAGCTATATAAAATTGCATTTTAAAACTCTGGTAAATTAATTATAAAAACTGTTTTCCTTTATCAAATAAAGGTCAATACTTGAACCACTAATACTACTATTTCTGAGCACTCCACTATTCAAATCTACACTGTGGGGTACCTGGGTGACTCAGTCAGTTAAGCATCTGACTCTTGATTTCAGCTCAGGTCATGATACCATGTTTTGTGAGTCTGAGTCACTAATTGAGCTCTGCACTAAAAGCATGGAGTTTGCTTGGGATTCTCTCCTTCTCCCTCTCTCTCTCTCTGCCCCTCCCCCACGCATGCTTTCTCTCTCAAAATAAATAAGTAAACGTTAAGAACAAAAACCCAGGGGTGCCTGGGTGGCTCAGTCGGTTAAGCGTCCGACTTCGGCCCAGGTCATGATCTCACGTCCGTGAATTCAAGCCCTGCGTCAGCTTCTGTGCTGACAGTGCAGAGCGTGGAGCCTGTTTCAGATTCTGTGTCTCCCTCTCTGTCTCTGACCCTCCTGCATTCATGCTCTGTCTCTCTCTGTCTCAAAAATAAATAAACATTAAAAAAAAAAAAGAACAAAAACCCCAAAAAACAAAAAAACAAATCTACATGTCATTAGGTGTCTATAAACATGGCTGTTATATGGTGTCACATGATGAAATAAAGTACTTCCCATACCTTAAAAAAAATGACTATAACTCAATGAAAGTTTCCTCTTAACTTCAACTCCTTCCTTCCATAAAGTAGCAGATCTATTTTTCAAACCCATTATTGGGTGAAAATAACCTATAAAAATAATGTCTGATTTTTTTTAGTTCTTAAAGTACCTTATTTTTAATATTTCAAGAAATATTACTAAATCCTTGATAATCTCTTAGTATAAGTAGCCTTCCCCTCTTTTCCTAAATTAAAACTTTGCTTTTGCTGGGTATTATATGTAACTGATGAATCATTAAAGTCTACTCCTGAAACTAATATTACACTATATAAACAAAAATTTGAAAAAAAAACCCAAAAAAACCCCTGCTTCTAATGACCAATTCTAATGAATTTTATAATTATTTACCTGTAATCAATGATACATATTTTACAAAGAGGAGCATCAAGAAGGGCCACAAAGAAAAGATGAGGCAGTGCTGTATTCAATACCATGATAAAGCCAAATTTCAGATCTAATTTGAACTTCTACCCATGGCTTCTAGGTAAAGAATAGGTATTTGATTAATACTTTTCTTGATTTCATGTTTATTCTATACCAATAGCATTCATTCTATCTACACACTGTCTCATCTTTTCGTCTAAGAACAAGAAAGGCATAATTCACATGAGCTTCAAGAATTACAGATTAAAGTGAAAACTCAGGTCAGACCCCAATACCCCAGGGAACTTCCAGGTTTAACTTTAAATTTTTTTTTCTACTTCTAATTAGCAATAGTATGTTTACAGTCTTAGTTTACCCAGAAGCTAGAAGTATGCAATACCAATAATCATAAGCATTCAACAATATGTTCATGAAAGCATACAGCTATTAACTTTTAAAAAGCACATTTCATTAAAGAAATTTTTTAATGTTTATTTTTGAGAGAGAGAGATGGAATATGAGTGGGGGAGGGGCAGAGAGAGAGAGAATCTGAAGCAGGCTTCAGGCTCCCAGCTGTCAGCATAGAGCCCGACACAGGGCTTGAACCTATGAACTGTGAGATCATGACCTGAGCCAAAGTCAGATGCTTAATCGACCGAGCCACCCAGATGCCCCAAGCACATTTCATTTTAAACCAGAAAAACTGTGCCTCAAGAAATTCTCCATAGATATGCTCCAGTTTATTAAATATCATTCTTATCTGAACCTGATAAAAGATAATTATTATGTGGTATTACATGGTTAATTAAGGATCAGCTGAAGAAACCTAATCCATCATGAAAACATATTCCTTGCATTCTGCCAAATACCAATAGCTGGATTTATGATATGTGTTACAACTGCATATATATGTATAAAATACAAATATATGTATTTTTTTATAAAATACATACAAATAAATATGTATACATGTTTATATATTATTATGTACTATGTATTATCTCATATAGAAACAGAAGTCATAAGGTTGGCACAAACTGGTTGCTCGGGACAAGCTTTGGAACGAGATATACTATGGTTTGTTACATTTAGAAAAATTTCTTTAAAGGTGGGATATGATAGAACTGATGAAGTCAGCACTATGTGATATTTCAAGTTATTTAAAAAATGCACTTAAGGGGCGCTTGGGTGGCTCAGTCGGTTGGGTGTCCGACTGCGGCTCAGGTCATGATCTCACAATTTGTGGGTTTGAGCCCTGTGTCGGGCTCTGTGCTGACAGCTCAGAGCCTGGAGCCTGCTTCGGATTCTATGTCTCCTCTCTCTGTACCTCCCCCACCTGTGCTCTGTCTCTCTTTGTCTCTCAAAAAAAAAAAAAAAAAAAAAAAAAAAATGCACTTAAAAGTTCCCGAGTAAGTTAAAAAAAATCTGAAGTGCATATGTCCTTTGATTTAGAAATCAACCTCAGAGAATTTAAGGGTAGTACAGAAAAACAGACCAGTAGTCAAAATAAAACAAAGAATTTCAAGGATATTACTGCTGACTCTTATAATGTTCATAAACATTCTAATTGTGATTTCTAATAATGAAGATAGACATCTAGAGCCATAATATAACCCCCCTAAATAGTGTTTCCTAACTAATAGGTGATGTATGTAAGGGTAAATGTTATTCTTTAACATGAAAATCAAAATATTTACACAAATTCCCCTTAAACTTCAAGTGAAGATTCATGTTGCACTCCTGCCCCAAATCATGTCTAATAAATTTTTTTGTGTGTTTTAATGAAACTTTATACCTTTTATTTTTTGCAATGACATATTAAATAAAATTATTTTCCCTTTTAATCCCTCCAAATTAAAAATTCTTATACCTCTCCTTTAAAACAGCTTAATTTATTACATACTTTTAAATGACAGTGTAAGGATTTCATATGACTGTATCATATTTTTGTGCAGCTGTTTATAAATAAGTCATGTTTGTTTTCAAAAACAATTTCATAAAATGGATACAGGATGAAATTTCAGAAAGTTTCCACACATGGATATCCTTATTTTTTCCTTTCTGACTAGTCTTTCTTCTTTCATTCTCTTAGCCAGGGTAAGGAAAGAAGAAGGATGATAGGGGATAGGTTTAAAGCAAAAGATTTCCTCTGCTCACCTATCAAAAACGACATTCTCAGTTCTGTAACTATTTGTTATTTTCACTGCTCGTTTTACCTTGAAGATGGTTAAGTATAGATAAATTTGCAAAGAGTCATAAAACTCTTGTCAATTAAAATGTGCCCAAATGAATTTATTTGGTGACATTCTGACTCACAGCACTCAAAAGAAGTCAAAGTTATTTCACTGCCAATGAACCCAAATTAGATGATCTCCCATTACAAAGTTTGCTACTTGTAAAATTTGGCTTACTGCGTGAAGTCACAAGAACAAGTATCAACCTTTATGTGTATAAAGGAAGAGGTGGGTTAAAAAAAAGAGAAAGATAATTTTTAGGGCTACATTTGTCAGCTATTTTTTGCATACGTACCCTGCTCTGCTAAATCTATAAACAAACTCACTTAATGGTTTTCATATTTCTAGTAAAGGTAGAATATTTTCAGTCTCAGAAAAAAAATGTCTTTACTCACATGATGCAAGACACTCTTGAAAATGGCAAGGCTGTATACTCAATGTATTTTCTACTATCTCCCGATATCCTATCATTAAAGCCATCCACGACAAAGATGTACATTCAACCCAAAATAAGAAATGCACCATTTTCCTAAATGCATAACACTTATACTGTAGTTACATATAAGGAGATTTATATTATACTCCTGTTTTTAGACCATAACAGACTTTAGTCTATCTTCCTTCCTCCTTGTCTCCCCCAAAACTTATTGAATGTCTATGTGCAGTGTGACCATACATCAAGTTTACGTGGGAGAGTCCCAGTTGCTGCCTTAGGCTCAGTGTCTGGTGCAGTTTAGTGTACCTTTTAACTATGAAAAATATCCAATTTAGTTATATAGCCACTGTGGCTATGTGTTGCACTACTTTAAATGTTAGACATTACAGAGAAGAAGATAACATCCTTTTCCCCAAAGGATTTAGAAACATCTTACAGGTAAACAGAATACTGGGGAAATTTTCACCCAGTTTTATTTCCTAAGTTTATATGGCATTTCTGCATTCCTTTCCCTTTCTGATGTGTAGGAACCACATCTTCCAACTGGTCCAAGTATGAATATGCCTTAGTTTTATAAACAGTACAAGAATGTTTAACATCGTGGCAAAATTCCAATGGCTGTTTTGGTGAACAACACAGAGCAGGATAACTTCAAAGAACAGTTTAAAAGTTTATAGGCCAGTTTTCTGGGTTATTCCCTTCTTAAATGCAAAATGACATTAAAGTATAGTTAGGTTTTCCACAAAGGATGAGTTCCCATTCTTAATGATTAAATGGCTGCCTCTCTTCACTGGACTCAAGCTGCCTTTTTTTTTTCTCTTCAATAGCCTAAATTATGTCTTTCCAGTGAGTTATAAGCCTGTTTTCCAATATCTCTGAAACTCAAACCAATCTATCCCTTTCAGATCCCTCCACTTTTTCAATCCAACTGGTACTCTAAGGTTCTGAATCTAAGAGAAATTTTAGTAATCTTTAGTTAGAGGTCCAACCCTGAGTTGTTTAACCAGTATTTTATTTTTAAAATCCTGTGTTGATACTTTATAACTCAATAGTAACACCACTGCGGATAATCTGATAGTGCCAAAAAAAAGTATGTCTCATTAGGCTAGAAGTAATTAAATTTTTCACCTTTTTAAAAATGTCTAGAGGTAACACGTTATAGGACACATCATATGGTATACAATTAAGGAAAACAGGATGTCTTGACTAGATAACTTTTCTCTCTTCTTTAAGAGACAAAGCATTTTAGACTGTGATGAGTATGTAAATACTATATTTTATTAGAAATTTTTAAAGAAAAATATTTCAAGTTCTATTAGTATATAATTATAGAAACAAATATTTTTTCCAAATAACATTTAAAGTTGCTATTGAATATAGAAACTTCTGGTTTCTGTAGAGGCAATAAAATGACTAAATGAATATGCAATTCTACAATTAGCTATTGAATTGATTGGCTTTATATGATCTAAGGCTTTTCCAAAACTTGTGGGGAAAAAAGTGCTCATGTGTTACTTATACCAATCAAAAATCAATGTTAATTTGAAGTTTAAAGCTTAAAATACCATCTAACAAAAGGGGAGGAGAGGACAAACCAAGAAGGAAAACACTAAAATGAGAGCTGAATATTTCTAATTCCAAGCCTAAAATAAACATTTGGAAGAAAAATAAAGCATTGTTCTTCCATAAAATTTAGTAACCAATAATCAGTATACTGTTTCAGCTCCTTCTTTAGCTCTCTTTTGGAATTCAGGCATTCTACTACTCACTGTTTTTTCAACCCATTTTGGAACTTTTTACTGCAGATCTCTTACATGTTCTCTGTCTTAAGAATATCTTTCTCCCGGGCTGCCTAGGTGGCTCAGTTAAGCATCCAACTTTGGCTCAGGTCATGATCTCTCAGCTTGTGGGTTCAAGCCCCGCGTCAGCTCTGTGCTGACAGCTCAGAGCCTGGAGCCTGCTTCAGATTCTGTGTGTGCCTCTCTCTGCCTCTCCCCCACTCACGCTCAGATGCTCCCTCTCCCTCCTTCCCTTCCTCCCTCCCTCCTTCTCTCTCTCTCTCTCTCTCTCAAAAAAAAAAGTATTAAAAAAATTAAAGAATATCTATATCCCTTTTCACCAAGCAAGCTTCTACTCAGATTTCAAATTCACACATAAATATCCCTCTTTAATGAAACCTTTCTAGACATGCTATCTCTTCTTTTTGCCACTAAAAAGAAGACAGTTTAAAAAAATAAACATACCATAAAATAACCTCCCCAACTTCATCCTCTGTGCTAATATAGTAGTATGTACATTTATTTCATTGACTTATAAGTAGTTATTTTCACATTTATTTCCTATATTGGGCTATGAAATCCCTTGGAAAAGGACTGAATGTTACTAACTCTAAGAACTTCTATTCCTTTAGTAGTGCCTGGCAGAGTCAGTGCAGAACAATTAATTATTGGAACACTAAATTAATTGAGACTGCTTCTTTCTTATGTAACATATATGGTCAATACAAAAAATGAACAAATAAACACCTTGACTGTTGTTTCCTGGGAAAATATACATGAAACATTTACATAATATTAAAGAACATTTATCATAGCTTTGAAAAGCTTTAAAATTAGTTACCAATTCAAGATTTCAAACACAAATTTATAGAAATTATAACAGAAAATTAACACTTACAAAAATAAACCTTAAATAATTGTATAGTCTTGTCATTACAGTATTAAATGTTAAAATACATTACTGATTAATCTAACAAACTAAGGATATTTGGGGGCCTTTCTGACTAGTTCCTCCAAATTCATGTTGTGTACACTATGGTTTCTCTTTATCTTTATATATGAAACAAGATCTTATTTATTTGTATAAGCCTTTTTAGAGTGTATTAAAGAAGTCTACAAAGTATAAAAACACATCTTTTTCAAGCTGGAAATTCATTATCAATATAAAACACATCCATTCATCTGTATTATGAAATAGTTGCTAGAAAAATGAAACTTTTTAGAGTTAAATCATTTCTGTATTTTGAAACAGGAAGCTATAAAGAACCAAAAGAAAACCCAATGTGATAGAAGCTTTCTAATATGGTCCTCTGAGAGCTAGCCAATGCATTTGATAAGTTCTGTTTTAATTGCTTTTTTGATGATTCTCCAAATACCTTTATCTTTCTTAAAGTACAGGCATCTAGCTATGCACTATGCTTTAACAGAAGCCTGATATATTTGGAAAAGTATTATTTCCAGGCCCTTCTATATGAGAGACCAATTAATATTATGGGTTCATGTTAGTTTAAAAAAATAACAGCATTATTTCTTACTTATACTTAATTGAAGATTAAGAAATCACGTTTTGTGATATACAAATACTCACCTACATATTTTCTACCTTTAATCTTTTCAGTTTGTTTTGGTCACAATTTGACAAATTATTTGCATTGTATAGCGTCTGAAATCTCTTAGTATAATTCAAGGTGTTATTAAATCCACTCATTTTGGTATTGCTGGAATCTTAAAGAGTATACTGACAATTCTATAATAAATATCACTGATAAAGGTAATAAGGAAACTATAGATAAGTATGGAACACATCTCAATTAATAAAAGATACACTCTTACAATACATAACTTCATTAATTCTCAGAAGTTGACATTACATGACTCTTGAAGTTATATGGCTTTACTAACTAATCTAAAAGCAAAAAGCACCTTCCTTTCTATAAAACATACTTGTCTTTGGTTACAGTAGTCATTAGAACAATATTGTAATTCTTTATGGATTTGGTAGAAAGACTAAACCTAATGGTCTCTTAATGGGTTTTAGTGATAGATTATCATCATATTTTATTGGGTCACATTCATAAATTTAATTGAGTATTGATCCTTTGACGTAAGTATTTTCTCTGTAAAAAAACAAGGAAAGACATTTGCTTACCTTGTATTACATGCGAGTTGTCTTTCAAGAAAAAGTTATACAGGTATTTGGGAATAAAAGCAGACATACATGCATAAGCCAAGGCTAAGAAAGAATAGGCAAAGATATATGGTAAATTAGTTAATGAGGCAAATGATGAGCAGTTACTCAGCACATAATCCTTGAATCTACTACTAAACAAGAGTCATGTTAACAATTGATGGGAACACAAAATTAAGGGTGGGGGAGACCCTCTATCCTTTAAAAATAAAGAAAACATTTTGGACAACAAAAGATAACCACCCTACTAAATTTCAATTTCAAACTAGTGTGGCAATCATCCCACAATAATAAAAACTTTTATTACTTAGAACTTTATAATTTAAAAAAATTCTAAAAATGATCATTATTAATGAGCTATACCAACTTTAAGATCCTTTATTTTTCTGGATACAAACAAAAGAGTCTGAGAACTTTGGATTTAGGAACTCTAGTCATAAATTATTCTTTCAAAGACAGATCTCTTATTCTAGGATCGATGCATGTGATACTAGACTTTGCTTAACCAAACATAGCAAAATCTCTGGTCTAGATTAATGAATATTGATTTCGAAGAGCAGTGTACTTTAAAAATTATTTTAATAGTGAAATTTTAGTTTTCTGGGATTGTGCTATCTCTATTCCTGAAATCTTTATAAATTCTCATATGAAATAGAATTTGAGAAGATGGAGATTCTGAGATTGAGACTTCTAGAGATTCATATTCTATAGGGTAATGGTCTCTGTATGTGATATCGTTGGGGATTAGAATCAATTAAATTTAACATATATTTTTTGAGAATCCTACTATAAAAGAGGCATTATAAGAGGGGGGCAGGAAATTAAAAAAAAAACCTACCATTTAAAAAAGTTGCGAACCAAAGAAAGGGTTACTATATTACTGTATAAATTACTAAAATACAAAACTTATACAAGATAAATTTTCAGAAATACGAAGTACTGTATGGGTTCAAGAGGAAGGATAAGTCTTCATCAAGGAATGACTGAAATGATCAGCTTTGGAGATACAAGAGCACTACTGATTTCTTTACAAACTGTTTAGAAAGTATATATAGACTAAAGCTAATCTCCAAAGAAGTCAAGGTTTTCTCCAAAGTTTCATTAAGTGGTCACCAAAGAAGATGAATTCATAATCAGATTCTCCCTAAATTTCTAGTCACTGCCTGGTCACAACTAAAACTCTAGTAATAAATTAATCCTTTACATCCTCTAAAGTGAGTCTAGCAGATTATGTCAGAAATTTACAGTATCTACCAGGTAAAGAGAGCAAGAACCTTATAACAAAAACAAAAACCTTTCCTGTATGAATAAAATATTTTAGAATAATATGTATAATGATTGTTTAAATGATAAATAGGCTTACCTTCATTATTAAAATTTAAATATAGGAATGGAGCACAAAGTGAATCAAGACCTGATAGGAAGGGGTTGGGGGAAAGAATTCAATAAACATAAATCAGTATAAGTGCATATGTATATACCTTATTCAGCTCCCTGAATTACTGCTATGTAGATTAAGCATTATAAGTATTATCCATCCAGAAACAGATTACATCATGGGGTACTGTGAGGAGTAACTGATAATGACTGGTACATAGTAAATGCCCAATACAAATCAGCTATTATTATCAATATTATTAGTTAGAGAGAGACACACAGTGATAGAAAAATGTAAAATTGATAGGAGGTTTAGAATACAGTCCCATTTCTGACCCTGTGTGATCTTGGCAATCACTTAATATCTCCAAGCATATTTCCTTATCTTGAAGATGGAGATTTGTCCTACAAGTTTCTCTGGGATGATGAAAAGAATTCTTTTAAAAATTGTGAAGTAAAATACAAACATATTACATATTTCTTTTATTGATAATACTGCTGTTCATATGTTGTCATGCTGAAGGAAGGTACATAAGTCTATAATTGTTAGGAAGATCTGGAACTCTAAAATGGACAGGGCTAGGAAAAATAATAGCTTCATTTTAAGTTGTCAGAAATTGAGATATAAAATATAAAAACTACTGTTCATAACAACTTAAAAAATAGAACTGGGAAGGAAGAATGGGTGTCTGATTCATGAATTTATCAATGGCTACAAAAATAATAATGAGAAAAGCTAAAAATCAAGGATATGGAATATTAAGGTTATTTAAAACAGGAGAGATAAATTAAATGAGCAGTTTAGGATGACATCCTGTTCCCTAATATCTAATAACCATGATAACCAAAAGTTGTAAATCATTAAATGCCAAGAATATCAACTAGCTTCAAATTATTTATAGTATAATATTATTTCATGATTTGTATAAGCATTAAGAAATGTAGCCCCAAAGATCCCAATAGCACAAAATATTGTTCCTACTCTCCTAATCAACATTATGGCAAATTGTTTCATTAAATATCTTGCATTTAAATAATATCTAGTAGGCATTTAGACAAAGTTTAACAAAAAATTCTCTCAAAAAATAGATCATAGCTTCAGTATCAACCTTCTTCAAAGCCAAGGATACTTTGATATTTTAATTTTTTAAATTGTCAGTTATTCAACATGCTCCTAATACTTCAAAAAGAGTCTTAGTAATTGGGAGAAAAAAGTTACCTTGCCAATACACAAGATCAGGATGAGACACAACCCAGGCTTTTAATACACGCCTAAATTTTGCATGACCTTCTGGTGATGACAGCAGTTCATCGTACTGATGACAACGAGGAATATCCACTTCAATCTAAAATAGCAAAAACAATAAGGTGGAATTGTAATAAAGTGATTTGCAATAAACCCAAGATAACAAAAAGGAAGACTGCATCTTGAATTTCAAAACAGACCACCTACATAATCCTGGTTTCTGAAGTTTTTAAATTTTATATTAGTCCTCTGGAAACACCAAAACAGTTGTGTTTATACTTAAACAAAAAAGCAGATCATTTCTATTGAAAAGGTATGTATTAATATAGTTTTCAAAAAACCTTCCTTTATAAGCTGGTCTAAATAAAGGGCAATTTCTTCAGATAAAAGAGTAAAATTATTGGGGCCCCTAGGTGGCTCAGTCAGTTAAGCATCTGACTCTTGATTTTGGCTCAGGTCATGATCCCAGGGTCATGGGTTTGAGACCTGCATTGGCCTCTGCACTGAGCATGAAACCTGCTTAAGATTCTCTCTCTCTCTCTCTCTCTCTCTCTCACTCTTTCTGTTCCTCTGCCTCTTTCCCCTTTTCCCCTGCTTGTGCTTTCTCTCTCTAAAACTTAAAAAAAAAAAAATTATAAATAAATAAATAACAATTATTAGGAAAAGTTACTTAAACTCCTTTAAGGAACAGTTCTAACTCAATAAATTATAATTAGTAAGAACTATGCTTACTCTACCACCATATGCATATAGTGGTTGCTGATTATTCCTACTCAAGAAAAAATTCTCTTGTTTTTTTTTTTTTTTTTTTTTTTTTATAATTTTTTTTTTTTTTTTAACGTTTATTATTTTTGGGACAGAGAGAGACAGAGTGAAGGAGGGGCGAGAGAGAGGAGACACAGAATCGGAAATGAGGTTCCGGAGGCCGTATCAGCCCAGAGCCCACGCTGGACCGGAACTCATGGACTCATGATCAGTGGACCTGGCTGCCTCGGAGCTGAACCGACTGCGCCACCCAGGCGCCCCCCCTCCTGTCTTCTAAAAGTTAAAGATTTGGCAGAATTATCTTAGGTTGTTTAAGAAAATCTAAATCATACTTGTCTATCTGTAGGAATTGGAGTGTCTTTATCAATTGCATCATATTTGGCATGGATAGCCCCCTGCAAAAAATAAGAGAAGATATATTAATTCATCATATCCTTAATAAATTATTAACTCAGGCAAAATATAGTTTTTATAAACATCTATCTTTGAAAACACACCCAATTATAGATATGCACATTCAAACCCAAAGCATCATTTTAGAAAAATTCTCTACATCTGTGACATTCTGTGATGAACGTCCATGATAATATGCCATTTTGCTTAGGCAGACATTTGAATTATACACACAAGATGACAAATATGTTGAGTCACTCAGCTAATGAGTATGCTTAGCTGTTCTTCCAGTCTCCACAACACAGCACAGCACAGCCTTAATGCTCTATTCATTGTTATCTCAAACATAGTAAGTTTCATGAAGAAATTAAAAAGAAAAAAGGGGGGGGTAGTCATCCCTTGAGAAATTTTCCTGTTAAAGTTGAAAATAAAAGCAAAAATAAAATAAAACTGTTTGAAGGAGTTCAGCACTAGGAGGAAAAGATTTGGGATAAAGAATGAAATACCATGTGGAATCCCTAATGGAATCATTAAGGGATTAAAGAGATCATTTGCATTTTCCATTTATACCACTACAGAAGGAATAACTGAATAAACCACTTTAAATTTTGGTCATGTTCTACACAACCAAATATAGAACGATTCTTCTTAATTCTCTGGTTTACTATAATGGTAGAAAAGAGCTAGGAATTTGGGGTTCAAACTCTGATATTATAGGATATGTCAACATCTCTGGCACATCTATTTTATGAGATATTTGGACAACCTGACCTTGGAAGTCATCTTGAACTTTAGCATTATATGGTTCTACAGTTCAAATTATTATCATATGGTATGGAACAATAGGTATTCTCATAAAACAACAAACTAAACTCAAAGATATTTATAGACTTTCACCAAAAAAAAATCAGGAATGAAGAAAATAATTCTTTCAATGGAGAGTTAAAAGGCTTAAATATACTTGGGAGAACTCACACACCAAAAAATAGGTGATGGATATCTATAAGGTATCTTTAACAGAATCTAGGAAAGCAGGATGACAAAGAAATTGACAGGAAATGAAAAAATTTGGCAATGATTTGGCCCATTATCAAGACTACTGTCAACAAAGTCTCTATTAGTACCACAAGTCACCCTAATAATGTGACACCTCTCTTTTTCTCACTGCCACAGATAAGGTATTATAGAAGACAAAGTAGCTATTTCTCTCGGCAGCATGTACTAAAAGGCACTAAATTATATTAATGATTTTTGACAAGGTTCAAATTGGAGTGGAAGATTTCTCCCATCTTAGAACTACCTATAAATAGGCAATCCTATTTGTAAATGAACATATTCAAAAGGACAATATAACTGATATATATTTTAAATATTCTGATTTGATCTCTATTAAATGAAATATTAAATAGCATAAATCTAACAAGACTTCAAACATATTTTTCTATTCTATCTAGTCTATTCTTTTCCTCTATTCCTTTCACTAAAAATTGTCAAATAATCTTAATACTCAAATTTTACTATGTAATTTTTTAACAACATGGAAAATAGTTATTCAGAAAGCACTTTCCTTCTTCCTTCTTTCTTAATATTATTAATCAACCTCTAACCTCTTTTCTTTCTTACCTCAACTCCCAGAAGAGCAGCCCATGTTAAACCTCTCATAAGAGGAGGAATGTCAACTCGTGCTTCCTTCCAGATTTGATTTTTTTTATATGGATAAGCCTATAGATAAAAAAAGATATGAAAAAAATCTCAAGTAGCCAAGTGCCATCTTTTAATCTAAACAATGACAGAGTTAAAAGTGACCTGAAATAAATTTCCAAGTATCTGAAATTATTTTGCCTGGTATTAATAATACATATAAGTTAGTAATGGAATAGTTCCCTATCCTCTGTAGACCTTATATAATACAGTCAAAGAGAGGAGCTGAATCTCCTGTTTTTAATCATTCCTCTCTGTTTTGTGCTCTGGAAGAATTATGAATGACTCTTATGGAGAATAATATTACCAGTCTCATATGGGTTAAATAACGCATAAGGCACTTTGTAAAATATCAAGTGATACAGAAAGTATTCAATAAATAAAAGTTATTATTAAGGTTATTTCTATAAGCTTACATATAAATTTGTCTTTATAAATTTGTGCTTTAGGAGGCATTTCTAGAAGAGAATTAATAGGACACGGGGTATGGATGTTGTTGAGGCTCTTAATACATAATTTAAAATAGATTTATAGAATGTTTCAACCAACTTAACACTCTAAAAGAATGAGAGTTCCAATCTCAATATACATTTGCTCACTTTGATAATTCAATATGAAAAATAAAGGTCTGTATTTTTTCATTCCTGGTGAGGATACATATTTTGAATAGACTTATTGACTAGTTGTATTTCTACTATGTTTTTTTACCCATTTCTCTGTTCCAATGATCGTCCTTTTTCCTATTTATTTTTAAGTGTTCTTTAAATAGCAAGGATAATAATTAATCTTTTGTCTATGGTTTTGCATAGATGCCTTCATCTTGTTTTACTTTTTAATTTTATTTACTATGAACATGAGTCATTTTTAGTATTAAAGTTAAGCATATAAGATAGGTCATAAAAATTAGTGTTCTCATGACCTTGAGATTCCCTAAGAATTATTAATGAAATAAAAAATAAAGATTGTATATGGGCTCTTTACACTTTTGAATCCCTACCTTTAGCAGCCTGTCAAAGAGAATGATTCTGTTTAGTTGGTACTCTGTGTCCCTCTCTCTGATGATTAAAGGGAGAGTGGCAGCTGCAGACAACTCATTATTGCTGTTTGAATGAGGTAAATTAGACTGGCTATAAAAGAGAAACAAAAGCAGAAAAACTGACCAAAGTTATAAAATTAAAAAAAAAAAAACACCACATTTTTGTACTCTATTTAGGAAATAATTTTCAAAGAAAATGTGCAAGCTTCTTATCAATTTAATATAAACAGAAAAGAAAAATAATGGTAAAAGAATATATATATATACTCACTCATCTTCAAGTAGTGGGTAAAATGCTTCTCCACCAACATCTTTTAATCTCTGAATTTAAAGAGAAAATATTTATGATATTTAAGATCTGAGACAGAAACACTATTCTTTATTTTTAAAAAATATGTAAAAGTTAGATATTTATGAATATACCAAAAAACTATAAAACAGAATCTAAAATTCATTCCTATCATAAACATGCAACTATACTAAGCCTCCAGTGAGTTTAGCTGTGAAGAATATTCTTTTTGATTTTTTACCTTGGGAATTTCTTATAAATGTTAGACACTGATTATGACAGTTTTCCAAACACAATGCCGAATTACTAACATTAGTATAAAACTGAGTAAATGGAGACATTTTTAAATCATATGAATATTATGTAAAAAAAAGGTACCTTTTAACACATACCCCTTAATTTAAAACTGAACTCAGATTTATTTTTGCTTTGACACTGACACAAACTAAGACAAAAGGTGCTAATAAAAAGGATTCAAAAGAATTTCTTACATCATACTTTGAATGTGCATGATTCAAATAGCTGGTAAATCAACTGGCAAAATTCAATTTTATTTTTTTCACAAACTTATTATAACTGTTATTCCAAATAATAATATTGCCAGGATTATAGATATTCTTTAAAAACATAAGAAGGCAGGCAGTAGTAAAGTAAAATCTTAGACAAATCCTAAGTAGGGTGATTAAAGTTAATGCTGTCTTGCCTGCTGCTCTGTTCTTCAGTCCAATGTCCAACTTGAGGGCCGAGTACCTGTTCCTGTGGGGACTGACACAGAAGTTCAAGCTCTGTGTGTAGGCAGAATTGATCTTCCATTGATAAGAGTTATTGTGCACTCACCCATGTGAGTTATTCTCAGAATTTTTTAAAGCCAAAGAAAAATCTTTTACCCACAACTAAGAACCTGGCAAACAAGGAATTTATGCCTGGCTTTTCTCTCAGTTCTGATGTGCCATAGATTTTATCCCGTTTTGCCTCTAAATTTTAGGTATCTCTTTCATGGATTTTGATACTAAGTAGAAGAATAAGATTTTCCCAAATTTTGCTGCATTATTAATATGCACATTGTTTTAAAGTTTGGATTATACTGTCCTAAGAATCATAGATTTTAAGTGTCTCTTCTGCTTTTTTTGGTACCAAAAATTTGTACTTAAGAGAAAAATACAGAAAAGTCTAAGGTAAAAATTGTTATGTGGTCTCCATATTATTTTAAAAATCAGAAACATAAATAACTTTTTTTGTAACACTATTTTATTTGGAGTGAACCCTTTTCAGTATCCCTAAACTGTGAGCAATGGGAAATGGAAGTATCAAAGAAACACATCAGAGATGTGACAAAAAACTTTACATTTTTTTTATTGACTTTATACAATCAGTGCATATTTAAGTAAAACAATTTACTATTAGGCAAACATTTTTGCATATGCTGTCTTCTTTTTTTTTTTAATTTTAATGTTTATTTATTTACTTTTGATAGAGAGAGCACAAGTGGGGAAGGACAGAGGCAGAAAGAGAGACACCGAATCCGAAGCAGGCTCCAGCTGAGATGTCAGTGCAGAGCCTGACATGGGGCTCAAACTCACAAACGGAGAGATCATGACCTGAGCTGAAGTCAGACAGTCAACCAACTGAGCCACCTAGGTGCCCCTATGCTGTCTTATCTTTATCTTTCTGTGCCTTTATCTTGTCTGACTTTCAGCAACTCTGCCTGGATGACTTTATCTTCTGGTGCTGTCTCCTGAGCTTTCTTAAGTTCAGCCAATGCTTGATGGTATTCTTTTAATCCTGTCATCCTTGAGTTCTACAGTACAATGCTTTAGTATTTGATGGTTCTAGTTCAAGAGCTTCCAAGTAATTGTCAATTGATCCCTGCCAATTTGACATCTTCAGTTTATAAGCACCAATGTTCGGCATGCAATTTAAAGCTATAGGTTGCAGCTTCAATCTGTCTGCTTTCTTAGTAACAGCCATGAACGTTTCACATATCTTAAAACTTTTGTGTTTTCTTAGTGGCCATCTCCCAGTTCTGGGATTTGAAAAAAGTATTTATAATATTTTTTTTTTAAGTTTTCTGTTATTAGTAAAATTTTATCTATATCTTTTGTTTCTATCTGCATCCTCAGGGAAATCTGGATGACTGTCACCAGAACATCTATTGGGAATACGTCCCAATCATTCCCCTCCTTCAATTCCCCACATTCTGTAGTAACACACAATTTGGCAGGTTTTTTACCTTTCACTTCTACATTTTCCAGTATCCTTGCCACACCCATTTCTTTAATTACTTGACCAAATACCACATGTTTCCTTCCAAATGAAGAGTGGGATCTGTTGTGATAAGAACTGAGAACCATTTGTATCGCAGCCCACATTTGCCATGCTCAATAAACCTTCCTGGTTAAGCTTGTAAGAGAAATTTTCATCCTCCACCTGTCCCATCAATATTTTCTCCACCTGTCCCATTTTGTTTTGAGAAGTCTCTACCCTGAATCATAAATTTCTTAATAAATCGATGAAAAGGGCATCCTTGAAATGGAGAGGTTTCTGGTGGTGAGTCCAATGCCTTTTTCTCCTCTACACAATGCAGAGAAATTTTCTACAGTTTTGGGTACAACATCTGCAAACAATTCTAAGACAATTCAACCAACTCACTGCCCTCCGATGTCCACGTCAAAGAAGACTCAGGGGTTGCTGGGGGTTGGAGGGCTTAGTTTTGGGGGATGGGTGTGACATTTTGAATTGCATATACACTTGGGAGAGAACTCAGAGAACCTTGTGGACACCTGGAAGCTCAACCCAAAAGTAACTTTCTCTCTCTCCCTCTCTCTCTCGTTTTGATTAATAATTACAGAAAAAAAGTATTTTAAATTTCAAAAGTGGAAATATAAGGCAATTGAGAAAGTACAATTGAAATCTTGTATTCATTTAACTTATGTTTACATAGTTTGGGTTATATTTAAATCTTTTTAAAAACTTTTTTTAATGTTTATTTATTTTTTGAGAGAGAGACAGAGCATGAGTCAGGGAGGGGCAGAGAGCGAGGGAGACAGAATCTGAAGCAGGCTTCAGGCTCGGAGCTGTCAGCACAGAGCCCGATGTGGGGCTTGAACTCACAAACTGTGAGATCATGATCTGAGCCCAAGTCAGACTGAGCCATCCAGGTGCCCCTACTTTGGGTTATATTTAAATTAAAGAAACAATATATACAATGGAATATTACTCAACCATTAAAAAGAATGAAATCTCGTCATTTGCAATGCCTGGATGCAGCTAGAGTGCATTATGCTTAGTGAAATAAGTCCATCAGAGAAAGACAAATACCATATGATTTCATTCATATGTAGAATTTAAGAAACAAAGCAGAAGAACATGTGGGAAGGGGAAAAAAAAGAAAGAGAGAAGCAAACCATAAGAGACTTAATGACAGAGAACAAACAGGGTTGGTGGAGTGAGGTGGGTGGGGAGATGGGCTAGATGGGTGATAGGCATTAAGGAAGCACTTGTGATGACGAGCACTGGGCGTTATATGTAAGAGATGAATCATGAAATTCTACTCTTGAAACCAGTATTACAGTATATGTTAACAAACTAGAATTTAAATAAAAACCTTAAAAAAATAAACAAATTAAGAGTAAAATCAAGTCAGTTGAAAACATACATTTGGATGTAGTTTATTGTTTGTTGCTTTGTACTGCTATTTACTTAACCCACTATATACATTCTTCTTTAAAGAGATGATAAGTTTAGTGTATCAAGTAGTAGTAATTATATATTTAAATTTTCTATTCCTTGCATCATGGAAAATAAGAGATTCTAATTCTCTCCTACTATATAATTTCTAAAATACTAAATGACAGGAAAAGCCTAAAAATGTAAGAAAAATGCAGTGATAAACCCAAAGCTGGGCTTAGAGAGAAAAGTTATAAGCTATCAATAAAGTGTATTGATAATTGTGGCCTGGGGTTTTAGAGCACAATGGGACAAAGACTTGGGCACCTGATTAACAGGGAGCCAGACTAGAGGAGACCCTGCTATATTCAAGTAAAGAAAAAACTGTGGTGGTTGGGTGTATCCAACTTTAGCCATCTCCAGTCATTGATGTGGGGAAGAATACCCAATTCTAACTCCCTTTAGCCATCTTGTCTCTCCTAATAGGGTAAGGAAGGAAGCTGAGAAGTGTATGCGAAGGTCATGGCCAGAGACACAGGTTCACTAAAAGGCTGAGACCTAATCATAGGATTATAGAACTCTTTCCCTTCCCTTCCTTTCTTTACTTCCATGTCAATAGAGCTCCTATGTAAAAGGGAATTCCAGCTGAAAGAAAAGGCCTCAGACCCCATTTTAAAAAGTCTCTAGGGAAACCCAAAGACACCAAGTGGAACAAGAACAAGGGTAGCTGAGAAAATTTTAGATTCTGACAAAAAAGCTACACAAATAATAAACAGCTAGATAAACATGACATCTTGAGCTAACGCCTATATGCCACAGTTTCTTTTACTGGAAAATTATGTCAAGGTTTCAACAAAAAATTGCAGGGCATGCTAAAATGTTAAAAAGACACTCTGAAGAAATAAAACAAGCTTCAGAACCAGCTTCAGCTATGGGAGAGAGTTTGGAATTATCAGGCCAGAAATTTAAAATAACTATGATTAATATGCTAAGGGCTCTACGGAAAAAAGTGGACAACATGTAAGAACAGGTGTGTAATATAAGCATAGAGGTAATAATTCTAATAAAGAATCAAAAGATGTAACCTACGTGTTATAGAAACATCAGAAGAAGGAGAAAGAAAGAAACAGAAGAAATATTTGAAATAATAATGACAGAAGTTTTCAAAATTAAAGACATCAAATAACAAAGATCCAGGAAACTTAGAACATCAAGCAGGATAAATACCAAAAGAAAATCTACACCTAGGAATATCATATAAAGGACACCATCAAAAGGTAAAGGAAGAGCCACAGATTTGAAGATATATACACTACATATAGCCAACAAAAACGCCATATTTGGAATATATATTTCAAAGTCCTCAAATCAAGAAGAAATCACTCAGTAAAAAAATTGACAAAAGATATGAACTAGTAATGTAGTATAGAAGAGGTAAGCAGGATGCTAAGAAATATGAAGAGACTCATAAGTGCATTAAAATCAGGGAATTAAAATTAGTATTATAGAAATTTACTATTCTACACCTTTTAGAACAACAATTTTAAAAAAAAATGTTTGTTTACTTTGAGAGAGGTGTGTGTGTGTGGCGGGGGAGGGTGGGACAGAGAGGGAATCCCAAGCAGGCTCTGTCTCTTGTCAGTGCAGAGACTGATGTGGGGCTCAATCTCATGAACTGTGAGATCATGACCTGAGCTGAAATCAAGAGTCATATGCTTAACCAACTGAGCCACCCAGGCACGCCTAGAGCAATAATTTTTTAAATATTTGATAATACCATGTGTTATCATGTATATGGAAAATGAGAAATCTTATTTAATGATGGTAAAAAGATAAACAGATACAACTACTTTTGTGAATGATCGGACAACATACATAAAGCTGATGATGCATAGATCCTATTTCCCAACAATGTCACTCCAGGGCACATACCTTGAAGAAATTCTGACATATTTTATGAGATTAGGGAGGCATTCAAGGGTTCATGTGTAAGGTTTCATTAAAAAAATATCTGAGGCAGATTTGTCAAAACACCATTCTTACATTCCTTAGCTGGCATAATGACAACGTCACAGTGGTGTCATCCAACAGTGAGCTTCTGTCTCGACCTTGCCCAAAGCTTTCACCATCTTCAAAGAGAAAACTGAAAGGAGATTAAAAAAGATCATTATCTTAATGAGCACACAAAATCTGATTTATTGTTTCTTCTGCAAAATAAAATTTATTCTAAATCACAAATCCCTCATTAAAAAAATAAATAAATTTTAGACTTAATGGGTTAATTAAAAATATGTAATTGCTGGTTGAAATTTCACCCAACAATTCTTTTTAAATATAAGTTGACTTGGTCTGAATATAGTATACAAATATAAAGCATTTTAGGAACACAAGAGTAGGATTTATCCTCTTCGTTCATGCAGATTCAATGCTAAAATTACTCTCTTGATACTATTTATATGTGCTACTGAGGAAGTTTATATGAGTGAAAAATGATAAAAGAAGAAACATCACAACAGTAAATTCTCGAGAAAAAGGATAGTGAATAATAAATGCATAAAATTTTTTTAGGATTTCAGAGAATTAATTTTGAGAATTTACATATACTTGGAATTTCCATCATCTTATATTCTGGTGTTCTGCTTAATTCAATGTGTGAGAAATATAACTGACTTAAAAATCAGTTTAAGAGGGAGAAAAAGTAGAGAACCAGTGATCTATTCAAATAACCTAAAAATTTAACATGTGAAGAAAATATGACCAGCAGGCGATTTTCCTTGTTACCTACAATGAACAAATCTAGTCACAAAATGTAAAATTAAAATTTAAAGCACTGGTGTAAACTCAGGAGATTGAGGTTCACATCTTTATGAATAAATATAAAGAGCAATGGAACAGTAACAACTTTGGTTCTTAGAGTTCTACTGTTAATTTAACTTTCAATCTGATTTATATGATGATGTCCAAGATATTATGCAGTTCTGCAGTTTTCTCAACAGTGATTTAGCACCATGCTGATTTCTAGGACAAGCAACAAAGCCATAGAGTACATTTACATTTACAAATGTAATTGGAAATAAAAAAGTTACTCATATTTATTAACTCTCTTGAATATTACCATTCTTTTTTATAATTTTTTTTTAAATATGAAATTTATTGTCAAATTGGTTTGCATACAACACCCAGTGCTCATCCCAACAGGTGCCCTCCTCAATACCCATCACCCACCTTCTCCTCCCTCCCACCGCTCATCAACCCTCTGTTCTCAGTTTTTAGGAGTCTCTTATGTTTTGGCTCCCCCCCTCTCTAACATTGTTTTTTTTTCCTTCCCCTGCCCCATGGTCTTCTGTTAAGTTTCTCAAGGTCCCCATATGAGTGAAAACATATGGTATCTGTCTTTCTCTGTATGACTTATTTCACTTAGCATCACACTCTCCAGTTCCATCCACGTTGCTACAAAGGCCATATTTCATTCTTTCTCATTGCCACATAGTATTCCATTGTGTATATAAACCACAATTTCTTTATCCGTTCATCAGTTGATGGACATTTAGGCTCTTTCCATAATTTGGCTATTGTTGAAAATGCTGCTATAAACATTGGGGTGCAAGTGCCCCTATGCATCAGCACTCCTGTATTCCTTGGTTAAATTCTTCGCAGTGCTATTG